GAAAGCCAGCCAGCTAGCCAGCGAGGAAGCCAGCGAGGAAGCCAACGAGGAAGCCAGCCAGCCAGCCAGCCAGCCAGCCAGCGAGGAAGCCAGCCAGCCAGCGAGTAAGTAAGCCAGCCAGCAAGGAAGCCAGCCAGCGAGAAAGCCAGCCAGCCAGCAAGAGCTACCTAGGTAGCTAGTAAGCTTCTTTAATAATAAGTGCCCTACTACTTCCTTGCTAGCTTCCTTGCTGGCTGGCTTCCTTGCACAGGTTTGATCCGTGGGGGGTCATCATCCACCAGCCACTCCGTAAATACATACGGCTGATCGGCAGTAAGTGGCTGATAAGCCGTCGGAATGAACTTTGGAGTTTCCCAAGCTGGCAGTACTGGACTGCAGGCCACTTTCATTCACGCGACCTACCCCAGAGATACCAGTGTGACGTCGCTTTGCTGCGGGGAAGGGAGCAGCGAAAGATCTACGGCTACCATAAGAATCACTCTCTACTCCCTCATTCCGTGGCGACAAGTACACCAAATTGTTCTGTACCCAAAATCGATATGCGATCCGTGCCAACTGGAACATGGATGCCCGCCTGTGTCCCGGAGTCTACTCCGCTTCTGTCCGTGCTGCTGCTGCTGTGCTCCATTGTGCAGTCAACAACTGGAGGCTATGACGGATCTATGCTAAACGGCCTGAACATATTGCCCTCGTATACCGACTATTTCAAGCTCACGCCAGCTACGAAAGGTCTGAATACAGCATCTACGTTTATCGGTGGCTTCATCGGGCCGATTTTTGCTGGCGTCATTGCCGATCGCCTGGGTCGTCGACCAGCGATCTTCTGGGGAACAGTGGTGACGCTCGTCGGTATCGTTCTACAGGGCGCAGCCCAGAATATTGCCATGTTTGTCATTGCGCGCATCATACTCGGCGCCGGAGGCCAGATTTCTGGCGTCGCAGGCGTCGTGTACTTGAGTGAAACATTTCCCAGTCGCTGGAGAACCTGGGGTCTGGGTGTACGTATTCTGGAGTATAGCGAGAAAAAGAAATGAAGAAAATACTTGAACCGGAGCTGACAGAGAGCCAGCTGCTCAACAACTGCTTCTACATTGGAGCGCTCATTGCCGCTGGAATTACCCTCGGAACCAGCGAGTGGCAGTCCACGTGGGCCTGGCGAGCCCCCTCCTTCTTCCAAGCAATCTTCTCCATCACTTGCTTGCTTTTCCTGCCCTTTATTCCAGAGTCACCCCGGTGGCTCGTTGGGAGGGAGCACTACGAGGATGCCCGACTGGTCGTTGCGCTGACCAATGCGAATGGCAACTTGCAAGACCCAGTCGCCATGGCCGTGTACAAGCAAATCGTCGATACGCTGGACTGGGAGAAGAAAGAGGGCCGCACGATGAGTCCCATGGAAATCTTCAAGACTCCGACTGCGCGGAAGCGCGTGTTGATTGGGGGGTCGGCAGGGCCATTCTCTTGTATCGCGGGTAACATCATTGCAAGCTACTACTTGGGCGATGAGCTGAAGACGGCTGGTATTGACAGTGCAGATGACCAGCTCAAGGCTGTACGTTTCACTACCCTATTTGGCGTTTTAGAAGACATGTACTAGCTGATCCCTCTACAGAACGTCGTACTCAACATCTGGTGCCTTTTCTGCTGCCTCTTAGGTACTCAACTGGCAGATACTTGGGGTCGCAAGCCCACCGCGTTACTTTCGCAGTCCTTGCTCATCGTTTGTCTTTTCATCATTGGAGGATTATCCAAAATGTACGCCGACGACAAGAGCGGCGCCTCGCAAGGCCTTGTATACGGCGACGTCGCAGTCATGTTCCTTTTCCAGGGCTTCTACTCCATCGCCTGGACACCACTTCTGACGCTTTACCCGCCCGAGGTCATGGCCTTTCCTACTCGAGCTAACGGAAATGCCCTTTCCAGTTTTGCGCTGAATGGCTTGGCGTAAGTTTTCACTTGATTGAAGCCCTGATCCTGCCGAGTCCCAGTCGGGGACGCGAGCCTCAAGTTTGAACGCAAGTTTGAAGTAGCAACAGCGGCGGCTTTATACCTGTCCCAGTTTAGTCCTTGCATGTGCCGCCCAGGGTGGGCAGGACTACTGTATTGACCGGGTCTGGCTAACAAAGGTTCTTTGCAGACTATTGCTTGTTTTCGTCATGCCCATCGGCCTCGACAACATCGGATGGAAAATGTACATGATCAACGGTTCTTGGGACATTATAACGCTCATCTTGATTGTGAGTACCACATCTCTCGCGGATAATCTAAGACTAATCTTTTAGGCCGTATACTGGGTCGAGACCAAAGGGAAAACACTGGAAGAGATTGACGCCCTCTTCGAAGGTGGCGCGCATTCTACTGTCCGTAATGTGGAAGATGTCCGCAAGGGACGAGAGGTATTGGATGTCGACAAGATTGAAAAAGACTTGTACGGAGAGGTCGAATTGACAAAGTTCAATTAGTCTAGGACAATATCGGTCGTTGCATGTCACCTAGAGGGAGAAGTGGGCAATGTCATCATTGGCAAGTGCCCAACATTTTCTGCATCACAGAGACGCCTCCGCCAGTCGCTCCTGGATGAGGCACACGGCCGCTTATCCACGAACACGAACCTTGTTACTCTCCGGTGGAGGAGGATGGCCATGCCAACGAAAATGGACCGCTCGGCGCGCGCGTCAAGCGCGCCGAGCGGGGTCGGGTGTGCATCACCAGCTACGAGAAGATTGTTCTAGATTTAGATACATGTCAAATAATACTTGGGGTAAGGGACTAGGGATATATCACAAGACCTAGGAGCATAGAGGAATGCCTTACGTGACTAGTTGCGATGGGTTGTAGAAACGAGTCCAAGGATTTTCGCTTCCTGTATCAGACGGAGCAGTTTGGTCACTGTGAAGAGTTCTGTGAGACAAGTCAGATATATCCTTCCCGAATACGACAGCTTAGTTGCCTGCTGTTGTGTTGATTGCCAACTTGAGTCACCCAATTCTGGTTGGACAAGATGCAAATGGGCGCGGCGCGGCGCATTAGACGACGCCGTCGTTGTTGAGAAACTTTATAAGATTTTGAATTCACTAGAGTATAGCTGTACACACCATATTAGCTGCTTGTAAGCGATAAATGAGCGAAAATAAATACCGCTGAGGCGTGATATTGTACTTTTGATTCCAACTACAACCATGCACCACTGGGATGACATCAAATAGCAAGACCATCGTATTTTCGCTCCTTGTATTGGTCTTGCTATTTTTCCCTTTCGTTCTCCCAGCTACTTTTCTTACTTTTACCTCCATCTCTAGGCTTTGACTACCCGTCTAGTGGTGTTTGCTAACAATACTACCCACGTAGTCAATGTCAAGTCTCATGCCGACGCAGCGCTAAGTTGAGGTAACCCTCGTTCACCGCATAGCAACAGAGCGGTAGGCCATTGCCCATTTCAACCTGTGTCTAGCTATTTAAATAGTCGGCACGATGGAGTACCTCTCGCTTCGGTGGAAGCTTTCAACCCTCTGCCAAACCCTACCAAACGTGGGAGAATTCACACACTTGTTCTCCTCTTCTCATTTCTTCGGCTAAAATCACGACTTTGCCACATATTCCTGTTTTTGCTTCTATACTCTTGGACGCTGATACAGAATGCGCCTCCTTGCAGTTTTAGTAGCCGTCATCATCCTGGTTGCAGCCAGTGGTGATGATGTGCGCGACCAAATCCCCAGCATTGGCAGTGGTGGTGATGATGTGCGCGTCCAAATTCCCAGCATTGCCAGAAACATAACGCACTGGAGAGAGATGGGCAAGGCAAGCAAGCGAAAAGTCTGCTACATCCGGCCCGGTCACAACAACGCGGACGGCGACGACGGGCCGCTCATCACGCAGACGCTCAACATCAACTGCCGGCGCAACAGCATCGTCGTCTTCCCCGGCCCCGTCTACAACATCAGGTCCCCCATGACGGTCGGCAGCCTGCGCAACGTGACGATCCATCTCTACGGGCGCTTCCTGTGGTCGACCAACATCGACTACTGGCTGTCGCAGTCCATGCCCGTCGGCCTGCAGAACCAGACCACCGTCTTCCACTTTGGCGGCGACAACGTGACGCTGCACGGGCACGGCGTCGGCACCCTCGACGGCAACGGCCAGGTCTGGTACGACTGGGCCGGCGGCGAGGGCAACCTCCCGCGGCGGCCCATGATGGTCAACTGGCGCCGGCTGACCAACTCGACCGTGCGCGGCGTGCGCTTCGTGCAGAGCCCCATGTGGACCATGGCCGTCACGTACTCGCAAAACGTCGAGTTTGCGGATATCTACGTCAACAACACGTCGACCAACGGCGCGAGCACGCTCAACACGGACGGCATCGACACGTACTACTCGCGCAACATCACGCTGCGCCGCTGGCACATCAAGAGCGGCGACGACGCCGTCGCGCTCAAGGGCAACTCGACCGGCATCCGCGTGCTCGACAGCGTCGTCTACGGCGGCCAGGGCCTCGCCATCGGCTCCGTCGGCCAGTACCGCAACGTCTTCGAGTACATTACGCACTTTTACGCCCGCAACGTCACCCTCTTCGACACCACGTACGGGCTCTACCTCAAGACCTGGGGCGGCAACCCCAAGGGCCTGCCGCCCAACGGCGGCGGCGGCGGCCTCGGGCTCATGTCCGACATTGTGCTCGAGGACATCAAGCTCAGGGGCGTCCGCAAGGCGCCGCTGTTTGCCTGGCAGTGCGAGAACTACGAGGGCGGGCTCGGCAAGGACTGCCAGTCGTCGCAATACCGCATGCGCGACTTCGTCGCGAGCTGGATCACCGGCTGGGCCGCCACGGGCGTCGAGCACGCGGGCTGGTTCCAGTGCAGCGAGCGGGCAGGCGGGTGCCATCGCTTCACCGTGTCCAACGTCCATGTGACCCGGGGCCAATGTGGTGACGAGCTCACGTTATGGCACTGCGAGAACATGCATGACCACACTGGCTTCAACTGCACTGATTGACCACGGCCACTAGGGCCACCAAGAGACTACTATAGCTGTGCGTTTTTTAATTAATGGACTGGGATATTCAGAGAACACAAGTGCCTTGGCCGTGTCGTCCTGCAGCGTCAATGTATTCACCGACTACCGGCCATTTCTGTGCCACGGCGTAGCTGTGATCCAATCAGTCACTTCGCCCTACTTCACGTGCATGAGCAAACCAAGGCCAGTTCTACATAAACATCAACACGGCCGCTACGTGAAACCCACCGCAAAAGACGTACTGTCAATTCCTTTTCCGCCAGCGCACCCGCGTCGCACAAGCAGCGGCTTGCACAGCTCCAACATATAACCCAGGGGGGGTGCAGCCTTGCGGGACTTGTTATGCAGCAAATGTCGGTCCCTCGCATCCTCACATCCCGTTTCCTCTGCCCACCATGGGGAAAGATTCGCACAAGAAGCGAGACCAGAGCGAGGCGCCGCCCTCGCGCTCCCAATTCCTGCCCGCCGATCGGGGCGGCCACCGCCCCGGCGGCGAGGGCTCGTCCGCCAACTACAGCCGGTCGTCGTATACGCCGTCGCGCTTGTCCCAGGTGACGAATTCGGGCGACATTAGCGATGTCGACGTCCAGGCCGAGGCGCTGAGCAACATGTCGTTTGCCTCGGAGCGGCCGCCGGCGGTGCCGCTCACGTTTGACACCATTTCGGCGTGGATCAAGCAGGGCGGGAAGCTCGAGACGCTCGACGACAGCACGCTCGAGCGGCTCTTGTCTCAGTACCTCGGGCCCAAAGGCGATCGATCGGGCCGGCGCAAATACCGAGCGCCCAAGGTGGCCCCTCCAGCGGCGCCCATCCTGGAGGACGAGGAGGTGGAGGACGACGGTGGCGTTTCCTTGCACGATGCGTCGTCGTCCTCGAGTCGGCACAAAGAGAAGGGGAAAGGCAGAGCTAGATAGGCGGCCTTCAGGCATTGGGCTTGACGCCGATTGGTCTACTCAAGCATGTACAACACGAGACTTAGTCCATACTTTGCTCTTGACTTTGTCATTTTTATCATATTCTGTATTTGCCTACTGCTTTAATCTTGGTTACTCCGACTCTATAGATTTAAGCAAAGGGACTAGTTGAAAAATGTCGCCTCTCCGACCGAATGTCCAGATACAAAAAAAAAAAGACGCAAATTCCCTTGATCTCGTCAAAATTCCGCAAAAACGGCCACTGCCATAGGTATCAAATCATTCGTAAAACCCATCATTCATCCGTTCAAACACCAATAGTGCGAGGCTTCTCCTCGACATGGCCGGCCGTCGATTCAACGTGCTGGCCCATTCCGTGCATTTCGTGAGCGGCCTGCGCCTTCTCATTGTATGCTTCATCTTGAAGTTCAGCGTCCTTGTTACCGTACAGACCAATCTTGTACCAGGGAAGGTCAAAGAGGCGATCCATGCTCTCCAGGGAACGACCACTGGTTTCTGGGACGGAGACGAGCACCCACAGCCCACCAAGGAGGGTAATGGCTGCGAAGCACCAGAAAGTACCCTTGGGCGAAATGCCTCCGTTGTCTACGGCGAGGAGCATGTTGGGAACAGCGCGCGAGTTGCCGTACTGGTTGGCAAAGTGCAGGGTCATGGCCCAAGACGTCGCCAGTGCTCTGATGCGAAGGGGGAACAGTTCTGCAGTCAAAAGATACTGCATACTGTTCCATCCCAGGGCCCATCCAAAACCGCTGAGGAAGATCTACATAATTTGTTTAGCATTTATTCCAAGTTGAAGTGCTAGAGGAGGGTTGGGTGCTGGAGCAGGCAAGAGGTTGGGTGACTTACCATGGCGATGGCGCCGCGACTGCTGGAAATATCCTTGGCAGGTAGCTTGAACTTGTCGACTACTCCAAGCTGAGGGACACTGGTCAGGAAGCTGGCAACATAAATCATGGCGATGGACTGCAGGGTAATGCCGAGGAGCAGGGAGAGTTTGCGACCAATGACATCAACAAGGAAGAGGGCGCAGGCCAGGGCAGCGACCAGCTTCACAATGCCAAACACGGCCGTGACAAGGAGACCCTCTTGCTTTCCGGTGATGCCGATAATCTTGAAGAGGTCGACAGCGTAGAGGGTGATGGAACCAGCACCGGACCATTGCGAGAGGAGCTGCACCATGGTGGCCATGTAGACACGATACAGGTTACTCTTGTCCAAGAACATTTCCTTGACCATGCCGACGAAGCCGAAACCGCGGGTTGCCTCGAGCTCATGGTCCAGCGCCGCCTGGATCATTGAGGTCTCGCCCACGACCAGGTCGCTGTCGAGCGGCTGCTGGCGAATGTAGGAAAGGACCTCGGCGGCCTTGTCGGGGCGACCCTGCTTGACGAGGAAGCGCGGGGATTCTTTCTGGAAAAACATGAGGATGAAGATGATGCCGGCCATGATGAGGTGCAGGCTGGTAGGTACCAGCCACTGGTTGTGGCTGTGGTTGGAGATGTGAAGCGAGGCGCCATAGTTGGTAAAGTAGGCGAGCACGATGCCAATGTAGACGGCACCGGTGAAGAAACAGGTGCACAAACCACGAATCGACGCAGGAGCAATTTCGGCAATGTAGACGGGGCTTTTTTTGGTCTGGTTAGCAACGTGACGCTCTGAAAAGGAGAGTCGTGTGAATTTTGTACATACCCGACGACAGGCGTCTGCCCAACACCGAGACCGGCGATGAAGCGGCCAGCGTAAATGGCAGCAAGATTGCCATTGACACCGCCAATCATGAAGATGATGATGCCGAGAATCCAGAGGATACAGAGGAAGCGGGTGGCTTGAATGCGGCCGATTCGGTCGCATACGATGAAGGCACTGGACAAGATCCATTATTAGCATGCATTGCAAGTTGCGGCGAATTTTTGCAGCGTAGGATGATCGCCATCTAGCGGCACGGCTTGGACGCCCTTGGCATGAATGGCGGGGGGGGTCGATGTCACAAAGATGGGACGATGCCAATGCTGGCCCAGGCGAATCATGCCGCCGCGTGCCAAATCCAGGCATCCCTCTTGCGCCGACCACAAAGGAAAAAACAAGCTTGCAAAAAAAAAAAAAAAACGTACATCATGGCGCCGGCGACGGAGCCGAGCTGCACCATAGAGGAGACATTGGCTTTGATGTTGGCCTTTTGCACCGTGGTATACGTGCTGTACCGAATCGCGGACTGAAAGTCGTCCGAGTTGAAGGCGCCCGAGATGAGGCCCTCGTCGATGCCGCGCGCAGCGCCGAGCAGACCAAACGAGACGACGGCAAACCAGAGGCGCCAGTTGAAGACGCCTTGGGGCTCGCCGAGGTTCTTGAGGCGGAAGATGTTGACTGGTTTCTTGACGCCGCCTGCCATGATGCCCGGCTCTTGATGCGTGTATGGGAGATGTTGATGGGAAGAGCCGTCTGGGTTGTTTTTTTCCACAGTCCGGACAGCCGCGCTTGTGCGTGAAGAAAGACAAGTGCAGAGCTGCGACGAGATAGTAAGCGTGGGGGGTACATGTGCAAAGTTTTGGGGCAGCAGCTTTCTTATTATACACATTTCTTGACTGTACACTACACCACACTACACCACATACACCCCGCCATGGTATGGGATAATTTTATGGGCTTCACATTCAAACCCTTGTCGGTGTAGCTTTTCGGAGAAGAATAAAAAATTACGCCGAATGAGCAGCAATATCTGACGCGGGGGGTGGAGAGGGACGAGGAGATGACCACCCAACGCAGCCTCGCTAGCATGAAAATAAGTTGGGGAAAAAGCCACATCCCCACGCTCCCCGCCACAGGTTCTGGGTGGCTTTTTATTCTTTTTATTCTCTCTTGGATATCCCTTGGACATGGTTGGTCGGGGACGGACCGTGGCACGCACAAGGACAGTGTGTGCCAGCAAGCCGGTTCTGTCCAGGACTCTCTCTCTGCTACTCTATGCCCGGCGATCATCGTTCAATGTGGCGGGCATTGTCGAGTTTCGCCACAAAAAAACGCCGTCGACCATGCCCATTGATCAGCCACAAGTCCAGCTGGAGGAGAGCATACGGTCATATGTACAGTGCGTTGAGGAATACGCCCTTGGCCTCGCCCATAGGCATAGGCTTGGCAGACACTGGCATCAACACGCATCAACACTGGCAGCTACACTGGCCTCTCCTCGCAACTCGACTTGTTCCGACGGGTTAATTCTCATTCTCAACACAAGTGTCGTCTAGTCATCTCCAAATCCAACCCGCAGTGGAGCGAGCGTCGCACGTTCCTTTTCACGCCAGCCGCCCCAGCTGTGTTAGCCTCGTGGGCATGGGGAATGTTGCTCCCGCGGGAGGAACTGCGCACGAGTCGTACGTACTACACATTCTACGAGCCCCTCGTTGGAGCAAGAGCGAAACTTTCATTTGCCTGAGCGGGTTGGCATAGACGGCCAAGTTCCCAAACCGGCAACTGAGCACTGGGGCCAAAACGTTGGCGTCGGCCATTGTCCGCCACAACACAGCCAACAGGCCTATCAAGTTGCCAAACAAAGCCCCATTTCAACCCCAAAGCCGAAGATCTCGCAACCTTCTAACTCGGAGCAAGGATATAGAGCGCTCGGCTATTGCACGCGGCGCTCCGAGCCTATGGAACGCTTTACGCCGAGCTGCCACACCACGAGTTCTTGACGATTTGCCGCTCTACCTAACCCAGCAGTTTATTAGTGTTTAGTCTTGTCCAAGCCACAGCGGGTGAAGTCGACAAATGCACGGTTCCCATTACTGCTCGAGTGTGGTTCGCACCTGTTTGTCGTGGTAGATCTTGCCCCCCCCCCCCCCCCCCTTGCGCGCGTCGGCCCTTCTAGACAAAACATGGCCCCCCGGAGGCCTGTTGGATACGACGGCAGCGAACCACTAAATAACCAACCTCGGACGAGCTGAAGCGAAATCTATGCGGTATTTCAAACGCAAATCAGAGAACAAACCGGAGCAGCGTCGCAACCCACGTTATTGCCCCCCATGTTTCCCCAGACCCTTTGTCAATGCGACGTCTGGGCGTAAAAACGGCGTTGCAATGGACGTGCCCTAGAACGCGGGGTAGATCAGTAACCACATTTTAATATTTGTCTTACCTTTTTGCTTGTCAAAAGTTGAGGATATAGAGGTTCGCACCAAATAAATTCCTTTTCAGCGAATATGCTCTTGTCCAAGAGATGAGAGCAAGCCTCCATCGACAATACCCCAGCAGCCAAGAAAAGCCTTGTAGCCTTGCCCGGCTCGGCGCCCTCCCTGCCAAGCAAGAGGCGTGGGGGCGCAGAGCTACGTGCCAGCTGACGACAAGACTACCTATGTGAAAAAAGCAAAGAAAAAAAAAACAATAAAAAGACAAATGAAGTCGCATATTAGAGAGAATCAAGTCACATTTCATCAGCTCCTCCCTAGGCTTGTTTCGAGTCTAGAGTTACCTCGTAGTATCCGGAGGGGTGGCCTTGTTTGCCCTCCACATAGAACCATATCACCATATCAACAGCCACCGCAACCCCACGTTGTTCTGACGCTGGGCGCTATCCACTGTCATTTCGTCGCTGGCGATTGTATCTTCTAATCGCGCAGTCACGACGTTGTATACTCCCTGAACTTCACTTACTTGAGCAGGATCAAGCTTCTTCCACCCTTCCCGTTGTATTTCTTTCTTCGTGTCGCGGTTGTCGGCGCTCTTTCTATGCCATCTTCGTTCGGCATTGCGCGCCAAGCAATGTAATAGGATGACTAGTCCCTGAATAATCCCGCCTCCAGCTCGCTCCAAATTCTCAACGTCATCTTTAGTAAAACCTTTTCTGAAAAGCCAAGTGAGAAAACTTGCGTCCAAGTCGTTCCTGCAAAACACTTCATGTCCGTCATTCTCTTGCTTCCTGGCTCGAATAATCCCGAACAGCACGCTGCTTGTTTCCATCAAGTACGGTCGTACATTCTTCAACCCCACAAGTGCGGCTGCACATTTAAATATTTCACTGATCATCAGAGCTTTATTCGCAGATATGGAATGTACGTAATATTAAGCCTATAATACTAAATTAATAGCTACACGTTTAATAAATTGACACTTTGGCCGAGTGGTTAAGGCGGTGCCCTGCGTACGTACACACAAACACCGACTTCCAAAGACTCTTACGCTAACAGCCTAACTAGTAAGGCATTACGTTCGCGTGCGTAGGTTCGAATCCTGCAGGTGTCGAAACACCCTTTTTTTTTTGCCATCGATGACTATTAGCTTATTTTTTTTTCCTTTTTCATTTTTTATTTTTTTAGTGATCCAAGAGATGCAAAGCTTTGAATGCAATAGAGGCAGCTTCCACGGTTATATTGTTCCAGCTAGAATCGCCTTAGCCAGCATGCTTACACGGAGCCATTAACGTATACTGGCCGCGCACGCCTTTACAAGCTACCTTAGGTAGGCGTCGTCGCCTGGAAAGTCGGGGCCACCCTGCACGGCTGATGTCAGGGGAGGCACGGTGGCCAGGGGGCTCTCGGCGGACAGAGGACAGCCGCATCCCTTCACAGCCAGTAACGCGCCCAAATCTGGTACTCTGCCGGGGTGCCCCGGAACCTAAATTCAACCTCTGTAACATCCTGGAAGCCCTCGCTCTCCTGCGGCGGCTTGTACCGGCTCTGGAACCCGGTAAAGGCCACCTCTGGTAGCACCTCTCTGTCCTCCGGGTTCAGAGACTTGTTCAGCGACCGCAGCGCGTCATTGTGCCGACAGACGGCCGCGGGCGTCGTGAACGAGACGCACCGGACCGGCACTCCGAACGACTGCGCCAGGTCAATCCATATTTTGCGCGTGGCTGCGTCCGCGTTTGTGTTATCTGTGCACACCCTTTCGTTAGCAAAAGCTTGCGGGACTGTCCAAGAAGCGCGGTGCGATCACTCACCCACTGCCACCGAGCACCCGTCGTCGAGGAATTCCTTGGCCGCTTGCAGGCACTTCTCCCTCGTCTTGAGCGTGTCCTGGTTGACACGCGCGTAGCCCAGCGGCTCCAGCTGCGTCCAGTAAAAAGTGCTCTTGCCGGCACCGGGCCGCCCGCAAAAGACCACAATCTCCTTTTCATTCTTCTTCTCAAACAGCGCGGCCGGGGCATCCTCGCTCCCGAGCGGGTAGTGCACCAGGTCGAGGTCGCGCTCCCACTTGCGCGGCGCCTGGCCCAGGAAATACTCCTCTGGTGTCTTGAACGGGACCCCGACATTGTGCGCGAGATTTCGATCCGAGCAGCTAAAGTCTTTGACAATCGCCGCACCATTCATCACCGTGGCTACACGACCGCCGGCATCGCCCACAAAGACGCTCTGCTCCAAGTCGACATCCTTGGCTTCCAGGCCCATGTCCTTGAGGATCTCGTCCCACATGCCCCTTCGCGGCTTCCTGAAATTGTCCTTTCCAGTAGCCGCGTATATTGCAACAGGTAAGTCGAGGTGTCGCAGTACCGCGGATCCCTTCTCTTTGAACTCTTCCAGTCGCTTTGCTGTATGTTTCTGAGGCGCTTTTTGCTTTGGATCGATATGAAGCGTTATGCCACCTTGGTTGGACAGAATAGCCACATGATAGCCGTCCTCGTAAAGCTCCTTTAGCTTCCCCGGTACGCGCGCATCCCACCACCGCCAGTCCAGAGCGTCTTTCGCATGCTTCCTTCCAGAGCTTGTGTCGATCAATGTCGAGTCCAAATCAAAAGCCGCAATCTTGCGCCGTAGTTGCGTTTCCTTGCTCTCCGTTTCTGGCGTGTATTTGCCCACGAGCAGAGTTGCTGGTTTGTCGGGGTCGTCTTTTCGTTCGGACCATGACGTTCGATCTTTTGGTTTCTGCGAGGTCGGTGTAAAGAAGTTGGAAATTGCACTCTCTACCGATTTCGGATTAGCCAAATTTCTCCCCCTTTCTAGTGCGCCCTTACTGGTTGTTCCGCTCTGGAGCGATCGCTTCGTTGGTGGTGGTGAGATGGGTGCTGTAGCTTTGCGCTTTTCGACGCCAGGCGGTGACGACATGGCAGAGCGGTTTAATTGAGGTTTGGAAGAAAATCTACGCGTCCTACACACCACTGGTCGCCAATTCACGCACTCGATGAAACGCATTTGAGTCTGAGGCAACCCCGTCTGGGTGGGAACCGCGCCAAGGCGTGACCGATTCACGCGAGATCACGTGCAGCTTTGATGAAGCTCCCCGGATAGATCCCGCGCGGTTGGCAGTTCTTTCATAAGGAACCCGAAATGACAATCAGTAAAAACAACAGGATTGTTTTCCTGTGATTTCAGTCATATCCTCCCGACAGCTGTGCAATTCGTGGCCAGTAAGAATCAGAGCGAATACTGGGCCGGCGCGCTGAGCGCACCTAAATCACCATGTATGAGATTTTTATGACTACCACAGTGGAGGATGCCGACTTCACGCCAGCATGCTCCGTTCTCGAGGGACTATGCTCCATGAAACCATGGGAATCCGTCATCCGCGTACTGTACTACCAAGGACCTCCACGGCCAGCTGGCCTGTCAAATCAGACCTCCATGGAGAAGCCGATACGCAAGAACCTCGCGCCGCTCTGGAGGGAGCTGCACCAGAACCTCAGCCGCCAAGCATTTGTGCTACAAGCCCGTTACGAAATCCTCAAGCATAGAGACTTTGGACCCGAGGCGACACCTATGGACCTGGACGCGACGCCAGGCATCTTGCGCTGGACCGACTTTCCGGATCCCCCTCACGGCAAGCCACTGCTCACGCAGCGCAAATTGGTTGAGTTGTGGGAGCAGCGTGCTCTGCCCTCCATATTAAATGATAACCAGCACCAGTATGCCTATACCTTTCCCCAAAGGACCAGCATTCGACCCGCTAACGACCGGCGTAGACTCAAAGGAGAGACGATAGAAGAGACGTATCGATTCTTCAGGGAGGATGTCGAATTCTCCCTCACTAGGCACTACATGTTCAAATCCATTCTCACATACCAACCCCATGTGTCAGGGACAGGTCGCGGGTCGCCCCCAGCCACGTCCCTGCCAGCGTGGGACGACATCACGCCCGTGGACTCGCAATGGCGCTGGATCGTGCAGGTCAAGACGCATGTGCTGCAGGACAATAAACCTGATGAGATTAGGAAAGCGCAGGATACCCTCATAGCGCTGCGCAACGAGCTGGACGGCGTCTTTGACTTTCGCGCGATTGACAGAAAGGTGTTTGATACCCGGATAGTGCTGCGACAGCAGGGCGTGTAAGCATTGCCGCAGAAGGTCACACTGGGAAGAACTCGTCACTTTTGCCAGTGTAATTATACATAATGATGGGCAAAGGTGGACAAAATGGAGCGTCGCAGCTAAAGATGAAACGGAATACAAAAGTTTCCAAGACGGAGTGAATCGAAAGGGCCTCAACAAAAAATGTCGATCACAAATAGAGTGTGGTTAAGGGACACTTTCATGGTTGGCGCAATAAGAAAGCCCAAGATAGGCTGTATAAATATGAGAAAAGGAAAGCTGATCACATCAAGACAAGTAGTAGCGTTGATTTTCAGCGACACATTTAGTAGAGCACAAGCTTGCCTTTAAAGAACAAAGGTCCATTCATCTAGAAAGGATAAATCTATGTCAAAACACTAGTGACGAGAAGTGAAATGGCAAATTAGACCAGTGCCATGGCGAGTAGAAAGCCTCAAGGGATTTTCAGCTCACACGGGAAACCAACACAAGGCGGTATATTTTACAAAAGCGTGACAGCTCAGACCTCCATATTCACATTGCGATTTGTCGTAAGAGGCTGCATACTTGGTCCCCGACACGGAGCAAAATTCGCTAACCATCGTAGCCGCGGGACGTCGCACTTGTCCTGTTTCTTCAGCAGCAAACGCTGCAGTTCTAAATCTCGAGGACCTTTTGGATGTCGGACACGCCGAGCGCGCCCTCGAGGGAAGTGACAGCGCCGTCCGTCATGCCCTTGACGTACGCATCGACCGTCTGGACCGCGACGCCCTGCTCGATAAGCGCGATGCCCTGGCCGACGGCCTGGACGACCTGCGGCGGGAGGCCGCCCTGCACCATGCCGAGCAGCTTCTGCGCGAGCGGTTGTCCGAGAGCAGACTCGACCTTGTCATCACGTAAGCTTCTCTCCCACACCTTCACTTTTTTTTTCTTGTAGAGTGTCGCGGGCAAGGCGAGGGGGGGCGCCTACCTTTGCGAGGGACGAGCCCAGAAGGACGTCGAGCTTCTCCTCGAGTTCTTGGACGCCGAGGCCGTGCTCGACCTGGCTGACGAGGCCGGTCAGATCGCCGACGAGGTCGTTGCTGCCGACGAGAGAGGTGACGGGTGTGGTGATGCCGGTCGGGACGAGGGTGGGTGCGGCGGCGGCGAGGCCGACGAGGCCGATGAGGATGGAGGCGGAGAAGCGCATGTTGATGGAGTTGAAAAGAGTGTGGTGTCCTGTAAGAGGATTGGAAAAGAGTGACTAGGGGACAAAAAGGATGAGCTGAGGCCTGGGTATTGATGATGGAGAAGAAAAGGGCAAGTTGGGGAAGTGCGCAGATGGTCTTCTTATACTTGACATCGCGTGGACCTGGATCGTATGGGCTGCCCCTGGAGAAAATTTCATTTCGCGCCAGGAGCCATACAAAGTGGCTTTTGTCAAAACATCTGGCCAGTTCTACGTAGTCTCTTTTGCCAGGGTGACATGCTCAGGGCCGCCTATCAAGGCTCGACCTTGTTCATGACAATTTGGCGAGATCGGCATCAAGTCCTGCGAAGAGAGTTTCCACAAAGGAAGCTCGCTCATGTGCTACATTCCACGTTTTAGACTGGATAACACCGTACCCCAGACTTGCTACAAAGTCCTTTTCAGCTACGATAACTTGGAGAGGCCTGACCAACAGATCTCGCCGTTGTTCTCACTCATCAAAGCTTGGAAAAAGGTTCTTGGCTCTTCCCCTTTACTTGAGACTTTGGTTCCCCTAACACTCTTTTGGGAAACAGCCCGGGAACAGAAATGATGGACCTGGGAGCAGTGATCGACTGAGCTGGGAAATTGACACGACGTCGATCGCGGCTTCTGAAAGACTGATAGGCCTCACGCTCTAGCGGGCGGGAATAACTACCGCCTTTGATTTACCAGTCATTATGTGAGACATGTAAGAAAACTGTTGTCTGCTGTTATTGAAGTGCTTGATTCGTAGCCCGACGGGTACTCGAAAAGAGAGTCCTCCTTTATATCGTTTTTTTTCCTACACTTGATAACTAACATCTTCCTATTATCCTTATCCAGTATTATTCATTTCGCTTCTTCTGCAGGCACGACTACCAACTGCAGGCTTCTTCTCCTCTTGCTCTCACGGAACCATGACGTCCCCGGACTGCCAAGCAACCAAGGCAGACAGGATTCCGGGGTGGCCGTTGTTGGATCGGCATCTCCAGCGGCAAGCGCAGGGGTGCAGAAGAGGTCTGCGGCCTGCGACTTTATCTAACCCTAGACTTGAGCACAGTGCCTCATCATTTCGCTCGCTAGCATCCCCGACTTGCTTGTCCCAGCTCTTGGGCCGGTGCGGTTTTCACAAGTACGACGGAGAGATCCGTGCCCACTGATCGTCCTCGAGTCCCCGCATACTCATCTACATACAGCGTTTTACACTTTTGCGTTCATTTTTCCTCAACTACGTGCGTAGGGCGGTTCTATATTCGTTGGGGCGGTTCAACGAGTATAGTCTTCAAGTCCTCGTCACCCTGCATTCACCTGTTTCCTGACGAAAACAAAGACTACTTTTTCATCTTGCACAGGCCAGAGTTGAGAGGGCATGGCTGGGACAAGGTCAAGGCCGGCTGTCGAGTGGTCGCTGCAACCCGCCATGACGTCGTCGCTCGTTTCAGCGCAAGACAGGGTCGACGTGGAGTGCCAGCCCTGTCTGTTGATCAAGACGAAGAACCAGTCAAGTAAGTGCACGGTGCAGCAGCCTGCCTACGCCTTGCCCCAAACGCAACCCCAAATTTTATTTTCATCTCGTCCAACTACGGTCCAGGAAACTCTCCCCAATGTTATGCACAAGTTCAAGTGTTCGGGATCGACTTCGGATGAGGCGGACCTCTCCACATCAGCAGTCACTTACAAGTCACTGGGACCTACCTCCCCATCTGAGCCTTCAGCCTAATATCAGACAAGACCACCCATTCACTTACTCGTTTCAGCTCCGCCATCCCACATTCTCGAGTCTCGCCGGGGCATCTTTGGAACTAGTCAATGTTTGCATCTCGCCTACCCCATGTCTCGGGCCACGGGCAAGCCGCGGCGCGCTGGCGGGGTGTGTGTGTGATGCAGACAAAAACCTGCAAGTACCTCGCTTTTTTTTTGTGAATCAGTGTCATGAGTCGTAGATTTAGACCAGCGTGTAACGATTCTAGGCCAGTCTTTGTCTCAGCCAGTTACAACTTTCCCAACGTCTAAATGTTTTGCCGGCCTCAGCGACAATGAACCCCACCAACCCCCGCACGCGGTTTTGACATGACAACATACAAATCAACACGAGTAAGGAGAAATTGCACGACGTCGACGGGCGCCGCCTTGAAAAAAAAAAAAGTCAAAACAGAAAAAAGGTAAAAACTTTCTCGGGAACCGGCAAAGCCAAACATCCTCGGTTCGATCCCTCTTAGGACTAGAAGGAACTTCCCAGAGCTAGAATGGGTCAAGTGGTGGCGGCGCCGGCGCTGCGAAAACGTATGTGGCGTGGTTGGAAAAGGCTTACTTTGTGCTGCTCACACGTGGCAGCGCTGCTCGGAATACCATTGCCTTTTTGAAAACAATGCGTTGTTGATCGGAAGGCGAGAGGCGCTGCTTTCGATGCGGCTGCCGACTTAGTCTAGCTGCCGAACCAGCCAGCCAGCCACGGTTGGAGAAGAGAGGCAAATCACACAAACATCCAAAGCATTCCATATTGGCTGATTTTTCAAATTTTACTGTTTTGTATTGATGTCAGAGTGCCTGCAACATGACTTGCTGGTACATCTGCATCTGCCTGCTATGCTGTGTTGCTGCTCGTTCTCAATTTCAGCCAAAAGCTAAGCTCATTCTTCCTCTGCCTTGTTCCAAGTACTACCACACTCACTCGTTCCTTCTGGTCCATTACCACGAACCCCTGGTTCTAAAACATAAATGAAATGAAAAACAATTGTTCTCTCTGGCTCTTCCTTGCGCTGAGCAGCAAAGTTCCGTCCGATCTAGGTAACGCCATCCATAGAATCTCCATTCACATACAGTCTAATATGATTCCAAGCGCAAAAAAAAAAGAAGAAAAAACACAGACGCTGGTCGTGATCCGTGGTCTGCTACCTTTGACAAGGTATAGGAAACCACGGCCAACCAAGCTTTTGAAGGAGTGACTAGAGTCGGGGTATCTCGAGGGGCGCGCGGGGCAGCCCAAATAAAATCAAAGTGATGAATGGTTCGCGTAATGATTCGTAAGGAGAAAATGTAAAGGATCGTAATTCTCTGAGATGATAATCTTCAGGGTCGGATGATGATGCAATGCGCAAGTAAAAATTCAAAAGTCGCTCGCTTCAGTATGCGGGTTAAACAATTTATCGATGGATGCCGACTTTGGCACCGAGGCTCTTCCAAAAGCGTGATCGAGAGTCCTCGTTGTACGCGCCAGCCATGGAAGCTTCGCGGTGCATGGGGCCAACAATGTCTTCGTCGCCACGGTTGGGGAACTTGCCCTGGGCAGCGTCGAGGACCTCAAGGATCTGAGGCACAGCGCTGGGCATGCTCTCTTCGAGACGCTTCCACTCCATGCCGGCAAAAGCGTCGCCCTGGGGACTGTGTTGCACAGACCCTGGGTGGGCGCTGACAGAGCGACCTCGAGCGCGCCCACGGCTGCGACTGCGAGAGTCGGACTTTTGCATCGGCACAGATGGCATAGTCTGCTTGACGACATCGCTATAGACGCCTCTCCAACGGCGCTCCGTTTCGGCCCACTTCGCTTCGGTAAGGGCGTAAATCTTGCTCGTCTGGCCATAGTTTTCACCGGTGCGCACCAAGTGCTTGGTATAGTTGCATCGCGCCGCGTCCCAGTCGCCCTGAAACTTGGCAATCGTCTCCGGGTTCACGACAGGGAGATCGTAGGGTGCAGGCGAGATTGTAAAATTGGCATGACCAAGACGATCAGACCACTCGTCGTGTTCCTGCAAGATCGAGGGCAGAGTAACGGGTAGCGGAAGTGGCGACTCGCCGTTGCTGGAGACGTTACGGAGGGATTGAACCGATGGGCGACAGCTCAGCGATGGCCGCAGAAATACTGCAGATGAGGGCGGGGATGACTGGGCAGTGGAAGAAATCATGGGCGTCGTAGGCGCTGACTCGATCGTGGGCGATTGGAGAGGCGACTGGGGTGGCGGCTTGCCTAGCGGACCGGTCATCAGCGGCGGCAGAAGCGGCGTAGTGGCCATGGCACGATCCCTCTGGATGCTAGTTCTGTCATGCTCGGTCAAAACGGGTGTCAAGGATGGGATATTGACGCTTTCGGTGCTACCAAAGGGCAGTGCAGGCGTAGGTGGGATAGAATGCTCGTTGATTCCCTCTGTGTTCTGGCGGGCAATGGCGGAGATGGAAGACGAGCGGCTGGAGGGAGCACGAGACAGGACGTTGTCGAGGCTGTACTCCATGGTACCAGCACTTGCCATACGTGAGCGACGACCGGATCTCCATCGGGTAATGTTGGGGAATCGGGACTCAAGGCGGGCGGTGAGGCCGGACAGCTGCGACTCGATGCCAGCACGCTTCTTCTTTCCGTACGTGGCGTTCATGTTGATGTCGCCGTCGCTAAGAAAGCCAGCATCGTAGTCTTCGATATCGAAGTCGCCAACAAGGCCACCGTCGAAGAGGTCTTCGGAGCTGTTGCCGCGAGGGCAAACATCGTCACCTGGGCTTGTTAGTAGTGATACGTGGGCATGCATCCGTGTTCCACGACTCACATAGGTAGCTATACAATCCAAAGTTGTCTTCGTCGTCGTCGGACATGTCGTCTTCGATGTGCTGGTATTGTTCTTTTTCAAGGGGCTCTTCCTCGACATCGGGCAATTGGCGCGTGGCAGTCTTGGTCAAGGTGCTGGGGAGCACTGAAGGCGAGACATAGCCATCCTGGGGAAGCGGAGGTAGGTCGAGCGAGGACTGGGAACTCGACATGCGAACATGGCCACGAGTAGAGAAGGTGGGCGTGACGGGTGATGTGATGTCGGAGGAAGAGGAATTGGGGGCGTCAAAGACGTATGGCCAGGGACCAAGGATGACGCCGCCGTTGGGATCGGGGCTCGAAGTCTGCGAGGCCGAGTCGGATCGTTTGCGCTGCTCGACCAACTGCGGCAGCAGGAGTGGCTTTAGTTTCGGCGACATGCCTCGCAGCACTGGCGCTGTAAAGGACACGGCCTGTGAGTAGACGGAAGCTGCGTTCGCGAGGGAAGCGTAGAAGTTGCGACGATATGCATGTAAGAAGAAGATGCGGACGGAGAAGTAGGAGGAAAGCTTGGTGGGAAATGCGAGGGTGAAGAGGTTATGATGAATGAGAGAGAGTCGATGCAGGTGAGTGTGTGTATGTAGTAGGCGTAACAAGCAAAGTAAGGCGGAGCTGTGTGAAGTGTATATGAGTCGTTTGGGCGACGAGGAGAAGCGAAAGAAGGCTGGAGAAGGACGAGAAAGAGAGGGTCAAGGAGGCCCTTGGTTGGCTGTGCTTGGGTAATAAAGGAAGTTGAGAAATGGTAGACAAGACAGGACAGGGACGTCGTGGCTGCGGTGCGGCGGCAAGGTTCCACCTCGAACGTGTAGAGGAGATGGAGGGTAGGTATGTGCCAAGTACCAGGAAGTACCGAGGAAGAGGAGGCTGTCGGGCGGGACCAGCAAAGAGGGTCGACAACGAGGACAGAGGAAGTGGGGGAGTGACTTGGTCGGGACAAGGGGGGCGGAAAAATAAAAACAATAAAAAAAAATAAGGATCAGAAAAGAAATAAACAAAGTGGGTGGGGTCGCAGGCTGCAGAAGGAGCAGGCAGTTGTCGGGATGTCCTCCGTACTGGGAAGTGGAGGTACCTATGTAGGTACCCAAGTACCTTGAGTGGGGTCGACCGGGCTGAGGTGAGGATACACACTGACACAGGTCGTTGACAGTGCAGACTCCAGAGTCCGGTGGCAGTGGCACAAAGCGAAGGGGAAAAAAGGGCCAAAACACCACTAATTATGCGCAGAGGCCACCGGAAGGAGATCGCCGGAAGAAAAGCTTCGCGACGGAGAATAGAAGAAAAAAAGCATCGCCAAGAGTACCCAGCGTACGCAGTAGAGAAGGCGTGTTTGGCGCGGTTTAGTGCAGAGCGGCGCCCTGTGCAGGCAGGCGACGGGCGCGGAATGACTGAATTTTTTCGTTACAGCGGTGCGGGAGCCCTGTCTTGTCGCTAAAAGAGGCTCGGCAAGTACCAGTTGGAGGCTGGGTACCGGCTTGCACCAGCAAAAAGTGCCTCACCGGCCAGGTACCTTCCTCAGCACCGGCAGCCAGTCAGCCCAACCAAAAGACCGCCAGCCAGAAAGGTTCCGCTGCCAGTCCAGGCAGAAGACGCAAGTAAGCCGCCCTTTTCAATCAAAAATCCAAAAATAACGCGGCGGCGGCGCACAAGAACAAACAACAACCGGCAAGCTGCTTCGCCTCGCTACCCTCTCGCCAGCGTTCTGGTCCAGTGGATGTTTTTATTCTTGCACTGTGTTGTCCGTTCCGTCGGGCTAGGTAGCTTCGCTGGTTCTCCCTGTAACCAAAAGTCGGGCCTGTGCAGAGACAAGGGGGGGTTGCACAGGCAAAGAAAATAGACGTTTGTTTTAAAAATAAAGTCGGAAAAAGAATAACTAATTAATTAAAGCAACAAGCCCTACTTGATAGGTACGAGTAGGCTGATGATGGCCGGTAAGCGTATGATGTCGAGCCCAACCAGATCAAGGCTTTCTAGGCGAGACACGGCGACACGCGATATCCGATGCCAGCACTTTACCATTTTAGAAAAAGGACGGCCCATAGGCAGGCAGCAATTCCCATTCTATAACCAATTTGCTCATTTCTACAACACATGCCAGCACTCATCTGCATACTCAGGACCCAGCCTGTCTTGGGTCTTTGCCGCCCGCCGTCCGCCGGACGTGTCTCTGCATGTATGGACAAGACTGCACAGGCACGGGGAGATGACGCATCCCTCATCACTACTACATTGGCAGCAGCACATAAATACACACACACATACGGACTGCAGCGCGACCGGTTCGAGACAGAGTATTATAGCTCCTCGGGTATCATATCTGCTGCAGAGCTCCAGTCCCCCCCCGCCGCATCACACCAAGATTGGGCTCCAGCCTCACGCAATTTCAGTACCAAGCCCTGTTGTCGCCTGCGCAGCACCCCGTTCTCGCTCCCTTTGCCAAGTAACCCCATCCTCTTGTCCAAAAGCATCAAAGATGGCCAAGAAAATTGACTCTTTGATAACTAAGTACAAAAAACGGCAGCGGCTCGCACATGTTTGCGCCACGCAGTGTGAAGATAACATTGGAGATGCTGCCAAGAGCACATCCGCGCGTCGAACGATTTTATAATCCTTAGCGCACAAAAGTTTCGACGGAATAGGCCAGAAGGGAAAAGAAAAGAAAGCATGCCCCCAAAAGCAGCAAAGTCACAGTTCACCCCTGCCTGCCTCGATACCACCCCCAGCTCCCGTTGACCACAGGCGGCCCAGCTGCCCGGCTCTGCCATCCCGGTCCGGCGTCTCTCCTCCACGGCCCGCTGCCTTGGGAGCCCAAGTAGCTGGAAAGTGAGAGAGAAAGATGCCGCGCCAAAAACAGCAAGGATTGCCATCATGCAACTACCAAGAAGAGAAGGGGAGAGAAGTTAAAAAATAAAAAAAGAGCTAGAGAAGCCCACAGCCCCGCGTCACCGCATCCAAGATTCCGGCTGCTACCCAGCGGCATCTGTCTCATAGGTTTCTGGCACTTTTTTGACAAATTGACAGGGCAGAGAGAGGCCGCTCGTCGAGACCCCTAATTGCCAACGTTATGGAGTGCAGGTCACGCTGACTCTCCATGTCGGCCCAAAGGCGAGTTAGATGCCATTGAGCAAGTCTGATTCGTCAGTACGATATGCGCGCTCTCTGGCTCTCTCCTTTGTGCCTCAGAAATAGAACAAAAGAAGGGCACCCCCTCCAGAGGAGAAAAAAAAACAAAATTAGACTCGTCACAATGGGCCGCGCCGTCAAGGTGCTGCGACATCTCGTTGGCCGCATAGTGTCGAGCTCACACACACCCAAAATGGCAATTGAAAGAGGGAGCCTGCATCAGAGACAAACTATCACGCCCGCCGAGCCCGTCACACTGACGTTGGATCTGGATCGTCTTGGGGGGGGGGGACGGGAAGATGCAAATTCCCGTCAATGGAGGGTTGTCTATCCGTATACCCAGAAAACAAGTCTCCCCGCTCGTTGGGATTCAGTACGTAGCTACATGCTTTGTCCCTCACCAACCCTCCTCTTTCCTCGATAATACGGTGTGCAGTGGCGGGAACGACTGGGGAGAAGGGGGCGCACGACACGGCCCCAGGTCAGACACGTATGCCGTGGTCGTGATGCCCATGGGACGGGAGACCGCCTTGCAAAGAAAAAAAAGAAAAAGAGAGCTTGTTATGCGAGGCTGGGGCAAGGCCCGAGGGGCCGCCGTGGCTGGTGTTTCCCGTGCCGCCCACCGCCCTCCCGCTTTTGGGGTTGGGCAGCCAGCATAACGGCAAACAAAGGGCACGAAACGCAGAAAAAGGGGGGTTAACCCTGAGGGGGACAAGCGGTGACGATTTCTTTTCAAACATTTTATTTTTATTTTTATTTTCTTTGTGCAATCTTTTTAAAATGTACAGAAATGGAGGAACAAGAGATGCAAGTATGCCGTGGTCGTGGCTTGAATGTTCTGCCAGCGAAGCAAAGACGGAGATTTGACCAGCGACTCCACGTCAACTGGCGGTGCCGCTCTCAAGAAACAAACCGGTCAGAGAAGAAGAAAGTAAATCAGTTACTGTAGATGGAGAAGAAACTTGTCGGATGAGAACAAAGTTTCATGTCCCAATTGGTGTAGATCCCGCTTCGAGGTTCTCTCCATCAATGCAAAAGCGGCAGCCACGGAGAAAACAAGAGGAGCGGCTGTGCTTTTCTGCCCTGCCCATGAAAACTCAATTGGGAGGGAGAGAAGAGAGAAAAGAAAAAGCTTACAAAAAGACAGTAAGCATTTGCAGCCCGCATTGTCGTTTTGACTACTGCCGCACGCAACCTTGCCCGTCTCTTTTGGGATTGTCCGCGTCCCTGTCGTCTGTACATGTGCGGGCAAGACCAGAAAGCTAGTCGACGGCAAAAACACACAGACACCGAACGCCTACTAGTGAACCCGGCCCTCCGGCCACCATTGTCAAGATCCAAAACCACGAGGCGGCGGCCGGGATCGTGGGATTGCAGTCCGAGCGAGGCCCCCAAGGTCAGATTTCTCGCGGGGTTGAAACGGCCTGAGCGCGTGTCGTGGCGAAAAAGCCGTGCGTGCGACTTGCTATTTTTTATGTGTATTTTCTGTATTTTCTATATTTTCTGTACTTTCTGTATTTTCTCGCGTTGTAGTCTAGAAGGGCCTGTACTTGGAGTGACTTTGTCGCAGACACGGCGGAATTTATAAAGGTGTAATTCTTTTGCAAATTGAGTCAATTACGTGCTGACAATATGCATTTGTGCTGCGTGAAGCTGGTCTGTTGCGCCGCAGGTTGTGGTTGAGTGGTTGGGACTTGCCAGCAACGTGGTCTATGGTGTTGTACCGAGGCGTGCGGCTGCGGTGCTTCAAAGCCGTGAACCGCGACAAGTGTTGGGGTTTCCTTGGACTTGCAATTGCGTAAAACTATGGCTCTACAGAGTAGATTGCTCTTTGTTGATTATTTATTATTTTTTGCTATTGTTCAACATCGGTCGTTTATTCACGTTATCCGTTATCATGAAAGCCACCAGACAGTGCAAACTCCACTGTTCCCACAGAGCACTGAACCACTCGAAAAGCCACAAACAGCACAAACAGTCACCGAAAGCCACTGAAACTGCGCACTGAAGGGCTCGCCTGAAACCCACCAAAACCCACTGCAAAAGACGCTGAAGCCACTCAGATGATAGTGAGCCGAGTGCGCTATTTTGTTGGTGCTTACAGTGGGCGTCGGCGCCCGTTGTATTACTCGGGTCAAGTTGGCCGTCGAGCGAGCCCGTGTGATTGGTTGATATTCCTTCGTCCAACCCCCAATGGCCCACGTCGTACGGACAAGTCAGTATTATAACATTATAACCATTCAAGTGGATGGAAAATGACTATTGAAGCCGGTATACGCTAGCAAAACCTAGTTTGGTTCTGACTCTGGTTCTGGAAACTTCAAGACGCTATCAATGAGTTATTGCGCCAGATATCAAGAACATCACTAGCCACCACCCTACACAAAGATGCTCATACATACCTACATAGGTAGGTAGATAGGTACCTAGATACATACTACACTCCTTCATGACTTGCTTGGCCCGCCGAGCTGACGAAAGCCCTACTTTGTTCTCGATGCATGAGCTGTTTGGCTCCCTCCCCCACGGGCCATCCATCATGCAGAAAGGGAAAAAGGCCTCCCGGACAAGGGTCCCCCCCTGGTTCGTGGTGCTGTCATGCTCACGCTTATCACCGTGTTGCTGCATCATGTCGTTGCTGGACAAGATGCCTGACCCTGTCGAGTTTCGTTTCGTGTCAGGGATTTCCAAAACGAAACAAAGAAGGCTGAAGAAGACGAGGGAAAAAAAAAAAAAAAAGAGTCATGTTCCATGCAAATCCTCGTGTTGATCGTACGTCTTGAAACACATTGTACTACATTTTGAACTGAGTCTTTAATTCCGTCAACGTCCCGATCCCGCCTGCGAGCCCTTGACAAGGTGAGCGCGAGCGCCAAGCTTTCATGCGCATAGATTCCCCCGCGTCCAGCACACCACACCCAAAAACACTATCAAGACACACTGAGAGGCATTTCTTTCTTCTTCTTCACATCTGCGCGCCAGGTGAAATGCGCCGAGAGCTTATCAATCGCTGTCGTCACATTGTCGGAGCGCAGAGTTTTCCGCGCGTCCAGCTGAGCTCATTGTCTGGCCGTTTGCAGCTTTCGTCGCAGGAGCACGTGCTTTCACCACAGGATAAGGGCAACGTCGTCTCGTCTGCAAGCTCGTTTTTGCTTGCGCGTATTCTAGACACGTTTTTGCATCATGCCATATTGTAGAAAAAAATGACAAAAAACGAAATCTCCACACAATGGAAAAAAGCAGCAGCCACCACGAGATCCAATGGTTGTGGCGGCCGGACCAGTCTCTGCCCAGCTTCTGTTTCCGGACCCGTGGTCTCGGAGGCCCGACAGAGCCTCCTCCTCTCTCCTTCTACCGCGTCCCAATCCTAATCCTCCCACCGAAATCACACCATTGTGGACATTGAAGAACCTTCCTAGACAAACAGAAAAAAAAAAAAGGGTTCTCTTGGTCAAGCGAAGCCCCGCTGAGGCGTTCCGCTGAGGCGGTTGACTTTGGCACTATCAACAACCCCAATCTGGAAGCTCGAGCTGCCCTCCACGATTCAGGGTTGCACATCAATGGAACACAGCAATATCGAGCTGGAAAATACGAGGGCAAAAATAAAGGAACAGCTGAGAGTTATGGGCAGTCGTTCAAGAGGTGCATCAATAATCGAATCTTGATGCCTTGTTTGGCATACTCATCCCCTCTGCCCTCGTCGATCACTTACAGCACAGGGACACCAGCTGATGCCGGCGCAACAGTAATTAATAAGGAAGATGGCGCGCCCCTTCCTGGCAGACACGAATGGCGAAACCAGCTCTGCGCCACCTTTGCCGTTGCCGGCTCGGCTCCAGCTCCGGAGCGTTTGGCAGGCTCGCCTCTCTATTTTCGCCGTTTGGTGCGTGTGGATT